AAATAAAAAATGACAAAAACTATCGAACAACTTCAGCTTGGTGACATGACAGTAGCCCACAGTAACGTACCGCCGCTTTGACAGCTACAGTAGCAGCGAGCTAGCATTATCTGTAGCAACCGACGAGCTAGCAGTAAGTCAGCTAGCAACCCCGCAGGCACAAAGACGCAGCTACAGCTTCAGCTCAAGCCCACAATGCAGCGTCTGGCGTGTATTGCATGCAAGGCGGCCAGAATTTGCGGCAAACACCCAAACGACTTCATGTCATGAACGCAACGTGCAGTTAAGCAGTCGAGACCTAGTTACGTTGGCTAACACAAGAAAAGCCAGCTGCCAGGCTAACTAACGGGGCTAGCTGTAGCTCTATTGAACTGTAACGGGGGGGATGGAGTCTGCCTCCAAAGCCGACAGCAACACTCCAAAAAATCCGCTTTTGTCCTCGGTGTCCGTTAAATGTGCTGGAAACGCTGCCCGCTGCGAGCTGTCCGACAATATTATGCGATACGAAGCATTTTTAAAAGTACCTCAGTTTCTGATTGTTTCTCCCTCCAATCTCAGCTTCCCTTCCCCCGTCCAGTGGCCACGGTAATTTCAAGTGCATCTTGGGAATTGTGGTTTCCTGCCCGGCACTAGCTTCATTACGTCATTGCTTTCTCTCCACACAGGTACAGACACTGAGAGCAGAGAGCCTGGGATCTATATCCACACCTGCAGTCAGCACTCTTCTTTTCTAGAAATATAGGTAAGGGGTTCAAGCTTTTCTCTAGAGCAAATTATGAATTTTGGAGTGATTTTTTTTTCCTTTTGGCTTAAGGCCTTTAGAATGCATTTAGCGATTGGTGTTTCATAAGTGCTTTACATTAATCTGACCATGTCTGCTTCATGTATGAATGACCACCCTGCCCACTTTTCCCTAAAGAGACCATAAAGAGAGATCCTACTATGTGGGACCCAGTAATATTTCACTTTCAACACCTGATAAGTCTGAACAGCATGCAGTCACAACATAATGATGCAGCCATTAACAGATTGACACGTACACTCAATATTCTTTAACTTGTGTGAAGTAATTTGGCACTAATATTGGTTCAAACACATATCAGAGAATGAGAGACACAGTTTGTGTGCCAAAATCACAACACAGTTCTTTCACTTTGCTGTATTAGGCCAAAAACGAAAAAAGGTAACTTTGCAGTGATAAAAAACAGACACTAACAGCTGAGATGAATGATACTCGGCAATAATGAAAACAATTTAACAGCAGCTGAAGTTCAGTTTGTTGTGTCCAGTTGTTTGTGGGTGTTTTTACTCTGAGTTTATTAAAAACCTGCAGCCTCAGACAGTGTTTCCAAAACAGGAGAGTTGCATGCATTTGCACAGGTGGAACAGCAGTGCCAGTAACTCAATTAAATACTTGAAATTATAAATGATCTCCAACATGGAGACAGAATCTGGATCTAACAGCAGGCCACTCTGTGAACTTTCTTCCCTTCAGACAGGTGAGCTGTCACACACAGTTTATCAGCTGCAGATAAATCATGTTACATTGTGGTCAGGTTGAATCCTGAGCTCCATCACAAATGTCAGGACATTTTTATTTTTCTGCTGCTAAAGTGGTGGTTAGACAGTCATCACATATGGACTAAATTTCCAGAAGTTAGGGAAAACCTAAACAAACTGTTATTTTAACAGGGCATTAGAATGTATCGTTGATCACTTAATGTTTTGTCAAATCTCACATGACAAATATTGTTGAACACACTGATGAAGCCAGCTATGACTCATATCCCATATATGAATACGGTTATAATATGAATACGGTTATAAAATATAGTTATGTGACTACACTCTAAAATGTAGTTCAAGAAACCTTGTTCCCACTACATAATTAAAACCATGGTTGCAAGAAGCAAAATTACTGGTTTAAACATTTTAAGTTGCAAAACTTATTTTGATGGGTTGTGTTAACAATAATGTTGTTAATTTTTCTTCACCTTGCTTTTAGGATTTGAAGTCCCCTCCTCTATCTTAACATGCTATCTGAACCATTTCAGATGGTCAACTGACTCAAAATAGCTAATTCCCCTAACTTGTTGGTTTAAAGTAATTTAATTAGTTAGTTAGTTAAATCATTTGTATAAAAAAACTAATGCAAACTGAGCCACCCCCCCTCCCAGAGTCCAATCATTATTTTTTAGAGTGTACTATTTTCTCTCTGCTGACAGAAAAAGCTGATGTTTGGAGCTGAATTTCAGTAAAGGATGAACAGATGGATATTGGGTGCAAAAAAACAAAAAAAAAAAAGGAGAGGGAAAAAAAGAAAAAATAAATTAATCAAGGTTGTCATCAGTGCCAAGGATTCGAAATGGCTGCCAGATAGCTTGTTTTGTCTTTCTGCTCTTATTACACAACTTATCTGCACTGGACAATTTTCCCTTTCCTACCCCAGATTTTCTCCTCTACTCTCATTACGCAAAGAATGGAAAAAGATCTACAAATGGCTACAACTCATGTCACATCTGCTTATGTTCAGATTTTGAGAGATTTCAAGCAGATGTCAATTATTACCTTGTGGAACATTCTTTCAAGGAAAAAAAAAAAAAAAGTTGCTTTGCATTACACAAGGCAGCACTTGGAGCTGAAATGTATGCCTTTTAAAGCACACAGGAGTCACCACCGACCAAACGGCATTTGTCTCGAGGTTCTCAAAAGGTTTATGTGAAAAGTGAAAAATGAGTACCTCAGTGCCCAGGCTGCAGTCAGCTCACTTTGTATTTCACCTTAGAAACTTCCCTCAGGCCTCAGTGCTGTGACATAAGTACATAATTCTGAAGTAGTGCAGGTGAATATCTTGCAGCTAACTTAGTCCTGTGAGACTGTGAGAGTGAGACCTCCATTCTTCATCACAACTAATCCTGACCCTTGCGGTGTGTGCTACATTCAAGAAAATGAGCTGTTACAAAACATTTTGGATGGAATGAAACTATACAAAAGAGGCAAAATGTTACACAACTGGCAATAATGGAGGACAGATTTCCTGTTTGGGATGAAATCCGCTGTTACTTGATCTCGGGGAATGTGCTGCTGGCTCACACCAAACTGCGAGTTGCTGGACTCCTCACACATCTGAACGGCCAAACACCTGTTCATTCTGGCAAACCGTCAGTTTGAAAACCCATCAAGGAACAGGAAGACATTTTTTATGAACTACATTTGTCATGGTTTTAGAAAGAACTTTTAAATTCATCCATCTCCTCCCTGTCAAAGAGGAAAAAAAACTTGCGCAATTGCCGTGTAGTTTCCAATAAGACTTTCATTATTTCTGTTGTGTTCTCTTTTTTTCCTCTCGGGCTACAACTTCTGTTATTTTTATATGACCAAACATGAGTGAGGACAAAAAAAAAAAAAAAAAAAGGACTAAGAAGCCTTTATTTTTATAGTTAAGCAAATGACCACTGAAATGTTTATGAGGATTTTATTTAAGCTCTCATGCACCAACAAAGAACAGACTAATCATTCTCCAAACTGCTTCTCTGCTTTTCCGACAGCATAATAAAAGCATAAAAACATAAATATCAATCTCACCGCAGTGATTTATTCACTTGGCAGTCACTGTAATGCAATGCATCTGCGCAATATCAATAAATAAAACAGTGAAATAAAAGTGCAATTTCACAACAGGGACAGGGACAATAACTGGAGTGTTATCAAAATGAAACAATGTACAATTTGTTGCTGCACTCGGTGTTTCTGCCAAAGTGGAGCCGACTGATGTGGATTAATGTGTCCCAAACAAGGCGTCTTAACTTTGTAGGAATATAGAGACTGCAGCACAGGATCACCAGCTTGGGCCCTCAGTGAGAAGTATAATGTTATTTCTATGTTTAAAGGCAATAGCTATGGGGTTATTACTATAATCAGAATTAAACAGATAAATAAATACTTTCAACAGCCTGAATTTGTTCAAAAATGTTGTCGGCCCGCCTCAGCTTTTCCTGCAATTTTGGCTGTGTGATGCCAAAATATACCCAGCATCTTACAAACATGAAAGCAGGGTGCCAAAATGTACCAACCAGTTGCTAAAGATAGCCGAATGAGAGAAAACGTCAGGAGACAAGACTGATTTCAAGAGTAAAAATGATGAAAACAGATCAAATGCGGATGCTCCTTCCTTAAAATTGCCTCGACCAAAAATTGTCTTAAATCTGATTCTGACTGCATTTAAGATGCTCGACAGTGCTGACATTTTCAAAAACAGACACAGTTCCATATCTGTTATGTTTAGGAGTCTTTTGAGTTCAGTTGCTAGTTTTAGCTTCTTGTTTATATTAATCTACATCTGAGGACCAGACTTTTGTGCAGCATGGTGCTGGGCAAACATGTACGATGACTTTTTTTTGTTGTTTTCCTTTGAAAACTTTTTGTGACTGAGAGATTTAAACAGCCTTAAGTTGTCATTTTTGTCATCTAAGAAGCATCATAAAGTTATCTTTATTTGTTTTAAAAGGACCAAATAGGAGCCTTAGATGCTAAAAGCCTAGGGCTACAAAATTTCTTGGCCCGTCCCTGGTCAGAAACAACCAAAGCACATGGTGTGTCAGTTTCCTGTCAATAATGTTACATCTCATTGTAGATTTTCTACTGCTGGAGGTGAGAAAAACACACATTTGGTTTCAGATCTCAAAAAAGCACAATCTTCATCTGATTTTTTTCAACACTGTCTGGATTTTCTTAGCTTTTCATTATTTATAAGCAGATTTACATGATTTTTCATTGGCGCACTGTGCCAAAGCTCAAGAGGCGTCTTGTGTCAGCAGGCATGAGCCATCTCCATGGAAACATTATTAGCCATCCTTTGCCTGAGGTGGTTGGCAAAGTCCACCTGCGTCTGAGAGAGCACTTTGTTTATGATTGTCTTTGGGATCCAGCCCTGCAAATGACAGAGCCAGTGTTAGATTAGATAACATTTTATACAGTTTCACTATACATCACTGAAAATCAATGTAATAACTGTGAAAACCAAAATGCAGACATGGCAGTCACTTATACCTTTAGATCTATACTTAGTAACCAGGTAAACTTGGTCTTATTCGGGTCTTCAGCACAGGGCTTCATAACTATACAGGTAGGCCCGTTCTCCGCTCTGAGAATGCAATGATTAATATACAGTGTCAGTTTAAATTACATTAGATGTAGCGATCCACTGCAAACAAACAGTCAGACTGCTCTAAAGTCATTCAGTTCTCATACACACATGCATGCACATATCACACAAAAAGTAAATTATTTCCCCCACTGGTGATTCTTCTCAACTTACCTGACTACGCCTCTCTGCTCAGGCATTTTGGGGTACTGAGTGGACATCCCAGCCAGGAAGCAGGTGGAGCCTCGACGTTTGGCACAGCGTACGCTCACGAAGTCTCTGGGTCCCACCACGTTGCCAGGTGTCTCTGCAGACACCTCATGGGTAATCATTGTGTCCTGGCCGATCTTTTGAAGAATCTGGGACATCCCAATGTAAAAAAAAAAAAAATGTATCAATGGTCTTGAGTTAACAGTTATCTCTATTGATGAACTGCAACTTTCTTACAGGGCACAACTGTCTTATGTAAAACACATGCTCAGCACAGTCAAGCTATCCCAAGATAAATTTGTCTCTAGGGACAATAAAGAATATCATATCGCATCGCATCGCATCGCATCATATCACATCGTATCGCATCGTATTGTATCGTATCGTATCGTATCGTATCGTATCGTATCAAATCTTACTTTGACTTGCTTGACATTCGGGTTCCACTCCCCCATGTGCTCCATATTTCCCACCAGCTCATTGTAAAGGTTGTCAGAAGGTTGCTCCAACATCACTTCCAGCTTGAACACCTTCCCAATGTCAGGCAACACCTTGCTTAGGACTTTGTCTCCATTTGCCTGCAGTAGTGTGGAAACAGATACAGAAACAATTTAAGTGCACTTTTTGACATTGAAAACAGCATGTACAATTCCTATCAGAACAACAAATCATGTGAAGCGCACTTTTAATCACCCAGTGCTAGGTACCGGCAGTCATAGCTTTCCAAATACCTCAAAACTTCTGATTCTGCTTCCATATTGTACTCACAGCTTCAGTTTCAATGGTCCAACCGTCCTGCTCGCCGAGGATACTGATGGCCTTCTGCAGCGCATCTTCACCTTGCTTCACGTAAGACCTGTCCTCCTCACTGTACCCCTCCTCTTCGATCCGAGAACCTTAAAACAAAGCAGCAGCTGACTAAATCATGTCTATTCATGTCCCAGAGTTATGACACTGTATTCAACTGATGAAATACAAGGATTACATGTTTTATCATGTCTGTTACTTGTGTTACATGACTCAAACAATCAGAATGACTTACTGAGAAGGGAGCTTCTTCGGCGGACTTGGCTGATCCAGTTACTGGGGCCTGGACCTGCCAGTTTTTTCAGCTCATGATGAATGGCCACCATGGCGTTTCTTCTCAAGCCTGGAAAACAGACACAGAAAGTGCTTGGTTATTACATTCTACAAGTGGTATATTAATTACACGTGAAGCATATGAAAAGAGAGTAAAACAAGAGAACATTCAGGTTTACTCTGTCTATATTCAGTGATTAAGTCACTCTGATTCTGGATTCCCTGCAGAACTCCACAGGGAAACTGCGTTTTAGCATAAAGTAAAACAAGAAGAAAACTGTAGGTCAAGGCAATAGCACTGTGTCAGTCTAAGTGGATTCTTTCACTCACCTGTCATGTTCCTCATATGCCGATAGGAGATGCCAGCACACAGTTTAAAAGTTGCAGGCAGCATTTTCCACTTATAGGAGTTTCTTGAAGATTTAGGAGAAGTATTAAAGTGTAAAAGCAAGTAGATCACAAAGATTCAAAGTCAGTCTGCTGCAGAGGTTCTAGGGCTTCTATCTGTGGACGTCTGCAAGCGCCTGTATATATAAGAGCACTGCCCACAAGGCCGCCCTGCTATCACCACACAGATAAACACACACATCACCTCACTGTTCCAACGGCCATGTCACCAAGGTCGCCTCACGTACATGATGAGCATGTCTCAGACTCTCACAAACTGTGTGAGATAACGTCCAGTGCCCAGAGCCCACCACATTACTCAGACATACACACACATATATTCCCCAAACTGGGGGGGTGACATGAGGAGAAACAACCTCTCCTCAGCGATGAGAGGTTAGTGGGAGAGACCCTGAATGACTCATCCGTCCCTTCACGCTCCATTACAGCCTAAACACTCGCTGGAATTTGAGGGCAAAAATGTTCCGTTCATTTTGGCTCGTTTCTCCCTCGTTTTGATTGATATCTCGGAATGAGCCTTGCATACCTCTGGTGTCATTATAACCGAGTGTCATTAACCCTAATGATCTGTTTGGGGTCCTGGAGATTCTGTGTTCAAAAACGCATCTAACATATTTAAACGTTGTTTTATCACCTTGAATGTTTTTACTTAATTTTTCGAGTTTCTCATGAGCATGATTTTGAACCGATGACAACCCCAGAGGCAGTAAGTCATAGAGAAAAAAAAGTGGATTTTCATAAGCTGTCTCAGTTGACTGGTTCAATTTATTTATGTTTATGTTTTACAATAGATTTTTATTATAAAAGGTCTAACAGGGAGTCTAATCAAGCACAAATGAAGTAATGTCACTACGTAGAACAGTAGGCTATGTAGCCAGTATTATATATTCAATGATTTTCTCACACTTTAACATATATATGTTGTTTTATCTTCTAATAAAGTTAGAAGATGAATGAAATGTTGAACAAATATAATAAAAGAAAAGAGAACTGGTTGATTTTGCCACAAAATGTAACAGAACACAAGAGCAAAAAGTAACCTTGAGGTTATAGCAAATACATGCCAGTGCTAAAAGTTTATATTATCCTTTTACAGTAAAGAAACAGGTGCATGTAAGACTTTTTTAAATGAAGTACATTCTGATTGAAAATGTTGGCATTAATGGGCACCAAACCTGTATTTTTTTTCTATCAAGAAAACAGTTTATTTTCAGATATATAGTACATTTTTGTTAGATCATAGACACATAATACAGAAAATAGCATGTAAGGAAGTAACCAAGCGTGCACTACACTCTATCAACTGACCCTGTTTAGGCATGTGTATTATGAAATCTGATGTGTTTGACAAGTCTACATATGGGAAGCTGACCTCTTTATTTAAACTCCATGTTTATGTTTCTGAGTTAGTCTTTGTCAGCGAGGCTGAATCACTGTCTTTTTGGAAGCTTTCCCAGAAGGCTCAGATAATCGTCAGATGTCGCCCCGCAATCTGTTAGTAACATGTTTTTATAAAGTTGCTCACATGTTTGGCGAACCTTGCTCACTTCGTCCAAGAAAAGTCAGAGGTATCTTACAGTAATATTGTCTTAGCAGGCTGCGTGTCACATACAAACGCAGAGTCAACAGTGCACACCATTGCAGGAACGGAAACCTGTCAAGAGACTAGCAGGTCATCTGATTAGTGAACAGCAAAGAGTGCAGAGAAAACAAGAACAGATTAATAAATCCCAAAACCTTAACCTACAACCTTGTGTCCCTCTGGCTGGATGGCAGGAATTATCCATCACTCCCTCTGGCCTTCTACAGGGGGTGTTCTCTCATTTAACACTGGAACACACAGGCCTCGCACTATCTGACCCATTACTCAGCCACAGCGGATAGATCCATGTCTCTTGTACTGTAAAGGTCTTTTTTTTTATCTGAGACAAAGAATCAAGAGCCAAAGTGGGTCATATGCCTGTTTCTAATGGCTCCCTATTTGGCCAGACCAGCATTATGTTTTAATGAGCTGCATTCCTGGGGCATTTTTCTAATGTGGCTCCTCAGATGGCAGGACTACCTGGAACCTGAGGGTTAAAGAGTCTCTCCTTTAAAAGTGTCTGTGGACAGTAAGTGCCTTTCTGTGAGTGCTTTAGCTTTTGATGTCCAGACAAAGAAGCCATTACTAACTGATGATGTGTATTATAGTTTTGCCAGATGGGCCTAATGTGTGTGTTTGACTTGGTGATTAGCTTTTTGGAATTTTTATTTGCACGTCACACAAGGAAGAAAAAAATGTTTGTGGTCACAGCATATTTCCAAATACCATCCAGCTGTGGCTTATGTGTTTTTGCATCTTTATCATTCTTTATTTACAACTACAATGCATGAAATCATAAAGCAGTATCTACTTAGACTGCACATACAGTTATCCCAATAATACATTTTGCCCAAAGAGGGCATGTGGAACAAAACACCAACTTTGACACAATATGAAGCCTCATATTAACTTTGGCTGAAAACATTTTGTACATTTTGTCCCACATCTCTCACACTGCAATCACCTTGCCCATGTGGCCAGCATGCACAGGAATGATCACAGCAACCAAAAGCTGCTTTCATCTATATACTGTATGGGCAAGACAGTGTCTAATTATGAAAGAAGTGAACTAACCCTTTCAATAAAATTACATTTAACATTTTGCCCACATTGCTGCCACCTGTAGAGGTCGTACTTTTCCTGAAACTGCAAAATGTTCGAGTAGCTGCACAATAATTGTACTGATTACATGGATTGATTGTGATACACTACATGCTGTTTCCTCATATGTCTTTACAAAGTGACATTAAATTATATATATCTTACATGTTAGAATAAATTAACACTGAAAAACTGCACCACCAGTAGATATCACTGAAAAGATGCAAGCTTTGCAGTCTGCTCTTTTGATGTACTCGAAGAACTATAATGAAAGGATGGTTTGGTCAGTAGTGTATATAATCATGTGCACGTATCTGAATATGACAAAGGAAATGTTCTGTGGTTACACTTACAGCAACGAGAGGGTAATAAAGACGCAGACAAACTGTGAAGTACTCAAACTATAGTACAGAGTTTATTGGGACTTGAAGGACACAGTGGGTTTGGCTTTCACATGCACTCAGCACTTTGCTGTACATCACATTAAGAAGGAAAACTCCCTCATCGACTCCCTCCTCTCCATCCCTTACTCCTCCTTCCAACAAACCGTGTGAGTCTGTGTGTTTTTGTGTTGACGCGTTCCCCAGCGAAGCAAACAGAGCATGACAGTCAGAGAATAAACAAAGTGCTGATGTCTGTGTGGGCATTGTCTGGGAGATCATACTAACAAGGAGGCACTTCAGTCTGATTCTGATTTTTTTTTTTTGTCATATCAAGTACGCAGAGAGAGAGCGAGAGAGAGAGATAGAGAGGGAAAGAGAAAGAAAAAGAAAGAGAGAGAGGGAGAGAGAGAGAGAGGCTTGTGTGAGATTGATTAAAATTACTGCATGGACCAGCTTTCACTACCTCAAACAGGGAAAATACCACATTCTTAAAGCGGAGGAGACGGAGCTCCTCCTCCCTTTTAATTGGCTGTGCTGCTGCGAGAAGGCCACTTCTTTGTGTGGTGCTTGCGAGATCTTCCGGCGTCTTCCTCCCCTCCTCTGCTCTCACATAAATGAACTGGACCGAGTCAAGAAAATTCAGATAAGATAGACCTTTCACATACCCTGTGTCATCGATTACAGTTGGACACAAAACAAGAGGAAGACCCTTTAGATTTGTGAGGCATTCTGAAGAACATGTTAAGAGTAAAGGGGCAAAATATAAAAAACCTGTACATGAGACAACAATGGCTATGCAGCAATATCTTTTACATGGAAAAAAGGCATAGGGAGAACAAGAACACTTTTGTTTTGGATGTAAAAGAATTAAAAAACAAAAAAAAAACCAACGGCATTTGACAATATCAATACAACAATGTGCCTTAATGATCAGAGGTAAAACATTTTCTTTTGGTAACAAAACAGCATGACATTATTTTAAATTGTGCAAGTTGTAAGTCAGGCTGAGTGCATGTGTTCCTCTCCACTCCATGGGGGACTGTGCAGAAAATTGAGCAAAAAAAAAAAAAAAAAAAGATTTCTGCTTCTGTACAGCATATTAATTAGTTTTTCAAACTCCACATAATGTCAAATATAAAGTGACACTGTAAACCAAGGGAGACTTCTGTGTGTATACGATGTGGAATGAGGTATGCAGAAGCGAAAGGGATACAGCTGTCCATACTTACACTTGTCCATGCAATGAAAACACAACACGATTCTCACAACTCCGAGTGTGTGCGCCTATCTGATTGTGTATGTACTGTATGCATGTGTGCTTTAAGCAATATGATATGTCTGCAGGCTCATATTTAGAGAAAGTGTATAAAACGGATCACACATTCTGATCCTCCTGTGGTTCTAAACAGCTAAAAACCTTCAAAAACCAATAATTCAACATGACAACAGTATCACAAAACTAATCTTTGGCCTGAGTGTACGCAAGGCAATGTACATTACGTGTTGAGGTTGCTGAGGTGATGTGTTCTGAATGTTTAGGAGTGATCTGAGGTATGGGAGGTGAAATACAGAGAAAGAATAAGTTAAGAGTATGAGTTGTGCAGATGGTGACACGGGGGGTGCAGATAGATGAAGAGATACTGGTACAAGATACAGGCCAGAAAGTACAAGACTGAAAATGACTGAAAAAAGAAATTCCTTTTCTGGAAAAACAACACCAAAGAAAAAAAAAAAAATTCACCAAGACCCCATCTTCTATTCCCTGTGGTGGTCTTTATCATACAGTGGATCCCCTGAATATTAGCTTGTTTTCTATCCTTTTCTGTTTTCATCAACATCAGTGGCTCTGCTCTATAGTCCAACAATCCTGAGGGTAAGTAAGGTTTGTCTGAATATTTCCAAACGTCTCGGCAACATTGACCATCCTACTAGAAATGCCCAGGGTCTCAGGGCCTGGTCACCCCCCCCTCCCTCCCCGATGGGCTGACCATTTAGGCTTTTTAGACAGGCTGTCTCCGGCTGCTGCTCAGGCCCCAGCTGTGGACCAATCAGCAGCGGGGAAGCCCCCTTCGGAGCTCCTTCC